ACAGGGTGGGTTGGGGGTCTGCATCAGGCCCCCCAGGAGCACCCCCAGCCCTGCAGCCAGGCTCTTGCCCACCTTGAAGAGGTAAGTCTTGCCCTCGCAGTTAATGCGTGTGAAGGCTGCGTCAATGGGCCCCTCGATGCCCCAGACATCCCTGATGAGCTTGGGGTAGCCGGGACGCACGCTGGTCTCATCCAGCTCATAGAAGTACTTCCCTGGGGAGAGAGGGGTGGTGGGAGCAGCAGGAGGGACCTCAGCCACCAGTGTGGGCTGACAGCATGTCCTGTATGCCCAGGAAATGTCCCCAGGGTACCTCGGAAAGCATAAAGGGAACCATTCTTCAGGTCAGTGAAGGCATCAAAAGGTTTCCTGCTGCACAGCTCCTCCGTCTCCTCCACAGGCTCCGGCTCCCCAAACCCACCCTGCGTGGTGCTGGGCACCTCTGGCAGTGTCTCCTCGGGGTCTGGCTTGCTCTCCAGTGTGGGCTCTGCTGGAGGCAGGGACGTGGGCAGCTCTGTGGGTAGCTCTGGGAGGGCTGCCCCGGGGCCTTCAGTCGTGCCCAAGTCGACAGTGAAGTTGTAGTCGAGGTAGTCATCCTCCGGCAAGGCAAACACATCTCCCCGGGTCACTGTGGGAGGGAGCAGGTTGGTCCCAGCAAGCCCTGGGTGTCTCCCATGGGATCTGGCTGCAGGAGCTGCTTGCTCCCAGGCAATATGGATTTGCAAGGACCCCACACCGCAGCTGCCAAAATCCCCTGGTGCTTCAGCACCAAATCCTGGCACAGACATGAAGTCACCTGAGGACATGGCGGGTGCAGAGCTGACCCAGCACAGACCCCTCTGATCCCCCATGGTTTTGAGCACCCACAGGCACCCCAGCACCCCCTGCCCTGGCTGGGACAGCGATCACAGCGCTGGCACCTTTGGCTTTGCAGACGGTGGAGTAGTCACTGCAGCAGCTCTGGTAGTACACGCAGAGGGTGTCACACTGGCACTTGCGCTTGGCATCGAAGCCATCGTCACAGCGGCCCACACAGGAGTCTGCAAAAGCCACCCCCAGCACAGGAGAAGTAACACAAGGTGGGCAGTGGGGCCAGTGCCTCCCCCTCAGCCCAGCCGCAGGGGTGAAAGCAAACATAAGCATATCTCAGTTTTGGGGATCCCACCTCTCCATGGTCAACCTCATCACCAGGGGCTACAGCAGCACCTCGCCCTGCTCCCACCCAGGTCCTGCTGGGATGGCAGCCATGGACCAGGCTGTGCCGGGGTCGCAGCTCCATGCTGGCAATCCAGCAGTAGGATGGCCAGGGATTTGCCCAGGCACCACTGATATCCATGTGCAGCCTGCTTGCCTTCTCCCCACAGTGCAAGGTATAGCCAATGTGACCACTGGCCATGGCCATTGCTTGTCTCCTCACCCTGGCCCAGGCCCCCCAGCCCTTCCAGCAGCCCAGGAGCCACAGACACTCCATCCCTACCCTGCAAGGGAAGGCACACAGCTTGGGGCTGACTCACCTTCAGCAGCATGGGCAGCAGTGAGCAGGGCCAGCACAAGGGTAGGGAAGAGCAGCCTCATCCTGCCCGGTGGGAGCGCAGCCCTCCTGCGACTGTGCGGGCTGGAGCGTGGCTGCGGCCAGGCCCTGGCAGCCGCTGTTTGCTCAGCCTGCCCCAGTGGGAGAAAACAAACAGGCCAAGGTCAGAGCAGGGGAAAAGGGGCAGAGACTCTCCCACCCAGCATCCCCCACAGTCCATACTGAGCTGGGTATGTTTGAGGGGGAACAGGGGAGCTCACTCCCAGCCTGGGTGCAGGTTGGGCGCTGGCTCAGAGAGCAAGGGAAGACAGCAGACCAGAGCCAGGAACCAGTTTTGAGGTGCTGCCATGCTTATTTCAAAGCAAACCTCGTGGTATTAAAGCTCCAACTCAAGGGGAGGCCATTTCCCAGGCTGGTCTTGGCAAGACAAAAACCCTAGTGACAGGGGATGGGGAGCAATGCTCTGAGGACAAAGGGAAAAGCCCCATATGTCACCATTTCAGAGGACTTGCTCTTGGAATTCCTGCTTTCTTAGTGTCAGCAAGGCTGGGAGCAGACCTGGGGAGCCCCAAGGCATGGCAACTTGGCAGACGCCACCTCCATGCACAGGGACCAGGGGCCAGAGGTGAGTGGCCGGGAAGAAGAGAGGGAGGGAGAGCAGCAGCCCTCTGCACTTTCACTGCAGTACGCAAACAAAATTCTGTGTATTTTGCTCCCATCATTCCCTTTCCAACCAATCTTTTTGGTTACTAATTAATTTCAACTCAGCTCTTTGGGCAGCTCCTGATAACTCTGGGATGTTTATTTAATCAAGGGCAAGGAGCAAACACACACTATGCTAGAGAGATAGTGCCCCTGGCTGCTTCCGCTGGGGCAGGAGGCTCACCTTCCCGTCCACCCCAGCCCTGTGTGCAGCTCCGGGCTTTAGTAAGTGAGGGAAGATCTGGGAAGAGAAGAACCCAAGCAGGGTGCCCGCTATTCCAGGGGCCTCACCTCTGCCAGCTCGGACACAGGCAGTTCCCAGCATCGCCTGCTCCCACCCTTACTGGAAAGAGCTTTGATTTGGTCCCAAGAAAGGCGTTTCCATGTGGAAAGCCCTGGTGAGCTGAGGGTGGCCACCAGATATGGGCTGTTGGGGCAGGACTTCTCCTGCAGCTCCCTCCTTGCCCCCTGGCCTCAGCTATGGCAGGGTTGGTGTCATCCCTGGGTGCAAACACCAGCCCAGCATTGCATTAAATCTTCATCCCATCCCTGCTGAATTGAGCCTGGGGGAGAAGAGCCCTGAGCAGACACAGGCTTGTGGGGGGGCTGCAGGGGGAGAAGGGCTGGGCAGTGTCTGAGCTGCTTTGGCTGATCGGCTGAGACAAAGCTCCCTCCTGCTGCTCCAGGCTCCCATCCACCAGCTCACATGGTGAGCCCTTCCCCGACTACTGACCTCAAAGCATGGCAGGAGGAGACCCCAAAAGAGGGGCTGTTTTGGGTAATGAGGCCCTGGGAAGCTCAAGGACTGAGCAGAGCCAGTGAGGAGAGCTCAGGCAATGGGGCTGGTCCCCCAGGAACTCCTGCCATTCCCCAGAGCTGGTGCTGGAAATCCTTCCCAAAAAGCAAAGTAAGACTAAAAGCCAAGCAAAGCTCTCTGGGCTTGTCAGGACAAGCCTTAGGGAATGGTTTGAGTTCTGCCCGCCACAGAGAGCAGCTTCCTCCAAGGTAGCAAACCCCTCAACCGTGCTGTATTGCAACAGCTCGTATCATTACCCTGTTTAAGAAGAATTCAGCAGTAAAATCCTTACTGGTTCCGTGCTGAGCCTCTCCTGCAGTGCTGTGCTGCTCAGGACGCCCCGGTTACCATCCTCTGCTGTGAGTTGATGTCCCTTTCCTCTCTCTGTCCCTGCGTAGAGGGTTCAGAGAGGATTAAAAGCGACTGTCGCATCAAAACATCAACTTGAATTTAAGTCTCAGCCTGAGCTGGCAACAACCTGGTTTTGAAGCCAAGGATTTAAGCTGCTCCTCCCAACACAAGAAGTGGCCAAAGCATTTCTGCCCTGAGCACGTCCGGCCTGGAAAAAGGAAAAGAAAATAAAAGGGGCCCAGGCTGCCTCTGCTCTTTGTTTTCTCATGCAAATCCTGAGCCCACCCAGAAGAGCTGCTCTGAATTTCCGCCCTGCAAAGGCAGCTATTTAACCCCCTGCACTGATAGAAGTGGGTCCAAACCACAGTGCCAGGATGGCCACAACCTCACTGTGACCACCAAGGTGCCTGGCCCTTTACTTCCACTCTGTGCCCCCTTCACTAGTCATAGAGGGTCATGGAGAGACCTGCTGTAAAAGCAGCATGGGGGTCTCAGCCTGCTGTGGAGGTGACCACAGGCTCCGCAGTAGCTTGGGCAAGGAGAGGGGAACATGGGACATGGAGACAGAGGGACAAGCCCCAGCGAGCTTGGGCAGAAGGGCTGTGGAAGGAAGGGTCTGGGGGATGTCAGAGCATCTGCAGCGAGGAGGGGGATGCTGCTGCCCAGACATGAGCCCCTCCTCGGAGAGGCGGCGCCTGTGCGGGGTGACATCAGCCCCTGAGGACCCGGGATGCTGAGCCTGGCTCTGGGAAGGCGGCTCCAGCCACTGCTTCCAGCTCCGCATCCCAGCTGGGCAGGGAGGGGAGAAGGAGCCGGCAGCAGAGCCCTGTTCCATCCCCCGTCCTGTGCCACCACTCCGGCAACCTCGGGTCCCCCCAAGGAACGTGGTGGCCCTGCTGGGGGGGGCCGGGGGTGCGGCTGACCGAGGATGCTGTGCTAGGAGATGCCGATGGTGCTCACCCTGCTCGTCTCCCTCTATAAACTGTGCCGGTTCTTCGCCATGTCGGGTGCGGAACGGCTGGAGGTGCCGGAGTGCGTGAACCAGGCTGGGCTGCCAGCTCCAGGGACCACCTGGAGTTATCCCCTGGGGTGAACACGGATGTACGGGCAGCCCTGGACCGCATCCTGCCCGCCCTGCACCACGCCATCGCCCATGCCAAGCAGGCAGCCAGCCCCACGGAGCTGAGCAGGGCCATTGCAGAGGTGTTCCAGCTGGTGGAGGAAGCGTGGGGGATGCCCACGCTGGGGAGGGACGTGGCCAAAGTGCTGTGTGATGTGATCCGCCTGGAAGGGGGCCTGGACCTGCTGCTGAACCTGCTGTCCA